ATTTACTCTTTTCATGGAGTCAGGACGTCCGTGTGGTGGTCGGTGGACTCGGTTCAGGACTTTTGCTACAACCTGCCGAAGGAGGTTTATTCGGTCTTTTCTGCGGATATTTCTCGCTGTTTTGAAACAATTCCGATAGGGCACGATGAGGATGGTCTTCCATCTGCACTGAGATTCTTTCTGGACATTGGTTGGGGTATGACTGGTCGAAAGAGTGTCCTCAAGTGTAAATTGTCGTCAGCAGGCAACTTCTCCTGTGATTTCGTAGGGCAGGAAGGGCAGGACTCGGAAAGGACTATGTACCTCACTAAGGAAAAGCTAGTCCTCTTGGTACAATGGATACTGGATAGATGTTATACTAGCCTGGGTGGTCGTCTATGGAGGCAGAGGCTGGGAATCCCTATGGGTTTGCCATGTTCCCCTGCCTTCTGCACAATTTACTTTTTCAAATACAAGTACCAACTCGTAATGAGGATTGTGGAAAACAAAGTGTATGAGATCCTCACTCTCTTCAGGTATGCTTTCAGGTACATAGACGATCTGCATTGCTTGAACAACCCGTTCATCATGAAATTCCTCGATCCAAAACAAGCCAGAGAGCCAGGTAACATCTTTCAATTATACCCTATGAATTTAATACAGATCAAGAATCAGATGGAAGTGTTCACGGAAGATGAGTCTGGTGCAATATATGGTTCAAAAGCCCAATTTCTTAATGTGGAAATCTCGGTAGTCTCTGAGCAAACTGGAGAATTCTTAACCACCAAATTTGACAAAAGGAGGATGATGGATTTTTCTATCTCAAAATTTGTCAAATATCACTCTAACAGGCACATCCAGCAATCATTGAATGTTATCATCTCCCAGGCTGCCACTGTCCTCGTACTATGCACAAAACCAGAAGACGCAGCAAATGAATTAAAAAACATTTTTGAGGAGATGGTGAATAATGGTTTCCACAGGCAGAAATGTCTCCGTTGTGTTTATATGGTACTTGACTCTCCACATCTGTACATGAAACCCAGGGTGGATATTCGAGCTACGTACTTCAAATTCAAGGTACCCTCTCGCCTAACCAACATATGGATGGGTGTGTTTGGCTGTGTCTTGTTGGTGTTGTGTGGGAAAATCGTTTCGGTCCCGACCAAGAAGGGCTGTTAATGGTGGCTGGCAGGTATCGTGTCGTCAAGGCAGGTACCTGTCACCTGCCTTGACGGCAACCTGCCAGCGGGACGGGGGTGGGGCACACACACACACACACGCACACACACACACACATACATAAGGGCATACATTTATAAATACATAAGTACACACATGGTAAGGTAGATATTAATCAAAATAAATGGTCTGTAAAAGAGTGAGGACTGCAAAATGGTATGCCGGGGGAATATGGACCAGTAGGGCCTTACTATGCATGCTTCTTTGTTCATGTTTGTTAAAAAAGATAGTACTGGCAGGCGGTACCTTTCTGCAATAGGGTATGCTTGGTTTGCGCCTGTCTCTTATACACATCTAGATGTGTATAAGAGACAGTTGTTAAAAAAGATAGTACTGGCAGGCGGTACCTTTCTGCAATAGGGTATGCTTGGTTTGCGCTTGCGGCCCACCCCATAGTTGAGGTTTAGAAGCTTTCTGACGAATGGGTATCTCCGGTTCTCGATTTCGGCCCCGGAAACAGCCCCTTTCCCTTTCTTGTTTTCCGAAGGTGCTATAATCGCCCTCTCGCACCAAGCGCCCTATGAAGAGCCGCATTGGCTTTTCGATGACATACCGATCGATGGCCTCTCCCTGGCGCTGTGTGCCGAATGCGGCAAAGTTTCTGCGACGCAGACCAGACAGCTCATCGTCCAGTTGCTCTTCCTCCTTCGTTTTGTGCCCTGCGCTCTCGGATTGTCCTTCCATATCTGCTTCTTCGTCCCACCTCCCTCCCCCTCCCCCCTGTTCTCTCTTATACGCGAAAGGCTTCCTAGTGTGTTGCGTGGGCTGGATCGTCGGGATTCTTATTGGTATTTTGCGGCGTATTGCCTCGTGTTTAACGGAAGGAGTAAAAGCAACAATGAGTGGAGCAGCGGAGTCTTCAAGTGGGGTACATGAATCCTTAACATCCATCCTAACAATATGCCCCGTATCTCTCCCTTGGCCAAAAAGGTGCCATATCCCCTTCGGCACGATAACAAAGGGTATTGTATCCCCTGATGATCCAATCATAGTAGGGATTGGTGAAAAAGCTTTGGGGAGAAACCTGCTAAATACCCTAATGTTTCGTCGACACTTTAGGGGTCGTTCAGCCGAAGCGGGAACTCTTTCGTAGATATTTGTGTATGCTTTTGTCAGTATATGATGCTACTTAACATGCTCTTCTCCATGTATTGTATGGCGTGTTTTCTGACTGTGAGTGGCGGATTAGGAGTTGGTGAGCTCCCGGTAATTTTCTAGATTTGCGAGATATGGAGACTGCATACGTATCGATTGCAATAGTGGCTATCTTCGCTATCTTCCTCGCGCTGCTCGCCTTCTTCATGGTTATGGAACTGTCTGCTCAGCATCTGCAGTGTTGTGAACAAAGTCGATCTTGCAACAATTCTTCAGACAGAGTTGTTTTGTCAAAGTTTTGCCGGAGGGAGTAATAAGATGGAGAGTCTCACTGTTGTACTTCTTTCCGTGTCAGTCCTTAGTACCTGGGTTTCATCTTGCGCCATGGCTATGCTGGTTCTTCATGGGTGGGTCGGGGAAAGCATGATTGGTGGGGGGCTCTCTGTGGCTGGCGATTGGCGTTACCATGTGTTGTTCTCGTTAATCAGTGTCCCATTCATTGCGCTGGTTGATATATTGGGTTGCTGGTGGCGAGCTGGGCCGTCCACCTTGCTTATGATTGTTTATCGTCATCCTGGTGGATAGATTGCTTTGGCATCTTTCCAAATGGCTAATTAACGGCACCATATGGAGGGAATGGATGAGTGAAGGGAATTTCCCGGGGTTTCTTCCGAGGATTGGCGTATGGTTCAAACGTGAGTGTAGTATCTGCTGATGGATAGAACGTGGTGGTGATGGGTGATGGGTTATGTCCTGCTGCTAGCATTCCTGAAGAATTCCCCGGATCGGAACGATTCTGTGGACCGAGGTGTTGAAGGTGGTGGAAATATGTTTGCCTGCGCCTTGTAGAGGTTCAGGGGAATGGACATCCTTGGCAATTATGATAGGCACATGAGAAGCTGGAAGGAGATGAGATAATATGGAATCTGTCGTGGGATATTATACGATGTCGAACGTTTCACTCGAAGCACAAGGGGATTGGTGTTAGAAGGAGGGATCGTAGTAATGGGCAGTTGTGTGCAAGGATAATC